GGCATTGTACCTTTCTGAGGTCCCACCCCTCCACAAATCCCACCCCCAAATCTCCAGGAATTTCCCAACCTGGAGTTGACAACCCTATCTCCTTTTTAGCCAACCTTCAACCTACCTTTATCTGCCCCTCAGATAACGTTCAGCTTTCCACCCCCCCCCCCCCACACCTGGAGCCTCTACCTAGGAAAAGTACAGTTGTTCTCCTCCACAGTAGGGACCCAAGCAGGAGGGGAAGCGACATGAGCAGGGTATAATGACACAAAGTCCACCCTGCAAAGCAGCCATTCTCTTCAGGGGAACTGATCTCTGCCATCTGGAGAGCAGTTTTAATGTGGCCGGCATGACTAATTCTAAGTGATCTCCACGCCTCACCTTTCCTGAGGAGGAAATGGCTGGTTTGGAGGGTGGAGTCTATGGCATTGTACCTGCCTAAGGTCCTATCCCTCCACAAACCCCACCCTCTCCAGGCTCCACCCCTCAAATCTTCAGAAATTTCCCAACCTGGATGTGGCAACTCTATCTTCTTCCCAGCCAACCATCAACATACCCTCTGACTTCAACTTTCCATCTCCCCACCACCACCACATGGAGCCTCTATATAGGAAAAGTACAGTCCTTCTCCTTTGCAGTGGGGACCCAAGGAGGAGGGAAGCAATCTCAGCAGGGTATAATGACACAGAGTTCACCCTGCAAAGCAGCCTTTTTTTTCCAGGGCAGCTGATCTCTGTCATCTGGAGAGCAGTTTTAATTCTGAGTGATCTCCAGCCCTCACCTGAAGATTGGCAGCAATGGTTCCCCAGAAGGAAAAGTACAGTCTTTCTCCGCAGTGGAGACCAAAGCAGCTTACATCATTCTCCTCTCCCCCTTTTGATCTGCACAACATCCCTGTGAGATAGGTTAGGCTGAAAGTACGTGACTGGTCCAACATCACCCAGTGAGCTTCTGCGGCAAGATAGCGATTCAAACCTGTGTCTCCCAGACCCTACTCTGAAGCTTTAACTGCAGCCCCTGCCACATGGCAGGGAAAAGACGGGGCAAAGCGCGGCTTCTAAAAGCCGCGCCAAAAAAGAAACAGCGCGGCGGGATCCCACGGATCCTGGTAGCCGCGCTCTGTTGCTCCCCGGAATGATCAGATGCCGGGGAGGAAGATACTAGTCGGAGGGGGAGGCTGCCATACTGCGCATGCTCGAGCATGCGCAGTACGGAAGGGGGCCGGGGATGCGACGGCGGCAAGACGCGCCGCCGATCCCACGGCCAGGATGAAGCGGTTCATCTTTGACATGCTTCATCGGGGGAAGGGACAGATTGGAGGCGCGAGCGCGACGCCAGGCAGACCTTACATTCTACATGTTGGAATTTAATGGGATTCCTGTTTTACTTGGAATTGCTGTAATTATATGTAAATAGTTATTAATGGTCGCTGACCATAAACAAGCATTAATTCATTCAGACCCATCACATCCTTGCAAGGAGGATTTGATTCCCCTGTCCCCAGAACTGGGACCCTAGAAAAATACCCTTCTGATAGTTTTACTGATTCTGGATTTGGACTCTCGCACATGCAGTAAGTAAAGGTTTCCTTTGCTTGAAAGCCAGGACTGATTCTGGATTTGGACTCTTGCACATGCAGTAAGTAAAGGTAAAGGTTTCCTTTGCTTGAAAGCCAGTCAAATCCAACTCTAGGGGGTGGTGCTCATTTCCATTTCCAAGTTGAAGAGTCAGCGATGTTCAAAGACATTTCTGTGTTCATGTGGCCGGCATGACTAAATGCCGAGGCGCACGGAACACTGTTACCGTCCCACCAAAGCGGTGCCTATTTATTGTGGGGATGGCAAACCTCTGGAGGCATGCCCGGAGGTCTATGTTTCCACAGGGAGATTGGGCAGTAGTGCGCAAGGTCACTGAGAGAAGAAACTTGGCTAGAGTCGGGTAAAGATAAGAAGGTGAGCTGTGGGCAGAGCACATCCTGTTATTCTAGTTCAGAGTCTGCTTGTAGCTTTTCAATATACAGGGCAGGGGGGAGGGAAAAGGGGAAAGCTACATAAAACGCTGCTGAGCCAGTCCGGGTCAGACAGATTCTGCAGATCTGTGTCTCGTGTCGTTCTTGAACCCTCAAGTCTTCAATTTATCTACTTGCAATTCCTTGCTTTCAAACTGCTAGGTTGGCAGGAGCTGGGGCTAGAGACAGCAGATCATTCCGTCACATGGCACTAGGGTCTTGAATGCCGAACTACAGACCTTTTTGCTCTGCAGTTCAGCATCTCAACCTCTGAGCCACCAATAAAAGCAACAGGCTTTATTGAAAAGATTTTAAAAATGGCTCAGGCTTAAGCATAAGGCAAGAGTAAGCAGATGCAATATAGCAACAAAACCTATCTTCCAACATAAATATACATACCTTAAGGCAGGCAGGTTACAACATCTTCAAATCAGCATTACTAGCAAAGCAGCAGGTTGGAGATGCAGCGAAATGGTCCCTGGCCCTGATGGTATTAGTGGGCCATGCTTAGAAAACTTGTGCCAGATGGGTAAGCTAACTTTATAGGAAACTTGACCACTGATCCCCTGAGCAGTATAAACCAATCAAGAATGTGATCCAAAAGACGATTCTCTAAGACTCTCCTCTCCCATCTGAGAGTTATTAAGTCAAATCACTTTGATATTCAAAGGTGTGTTATTCTTTAACACTTGGATGGCACATCAGGAAACAGGCTATGCTTTTAAATTTACAACAGGGCCAAATCCTGATGTTTACACTGTCAGGTTGATTTGATTGATGCAGAGGTGACCATCCCTCTTGACACATATAATAATCGCATTTGTGTGGAATGAAGAAGCGTTTGTTTTTCAGGTGTGATCTGTCCTCCACCACCCATTTCTGAATTTGGAGCCCTCTCTTACCATAGACTTAAGCCTGGAAACATATCTGTTTTCCAAGATGAAATCAAGTTTGAATGTTTGTTGCCTTCGGCATTAATAGATAACGAAACAGCTAGGTATCTGGCCTTGCAGAAATGGAGTGGGATACCAGAATGCAGAAGTATTCCAAAGATTCCGAAGGGCCTGGAGGCCCTTACTGCCGAAGGGACCAAGTTCTCCAATGGGAAAATGTATCCCATCATTACTCTTGTTATATTGCCATATTTGGGGAACAGAGCCATGTCTTATTTTAGAACTAGAGCACAAAGCCTTGTTAGATACCTCATCATAAATCATAACTTGTAGGTTTTCTTTTTTTTCCAATACAGAAGTGAAATGTCCATATCCAGCAGAAATAAAAAATGGATTCATAAGCTTTGGTCTTCGCGAAATTTATCAGTATAAAAACAGAGTGACCTATGGCTGCGATCCTACGTATGTGATGGATGGACCTGCAGAGTCTACATGTGAAAAAACAGGAGACTGGTCAACGAAACCAACTTGCAAAGGTCTATTTTGGCATCTTGAAAATCTGTAAACATACACTAGCTTACGTTTTCTTAAAAAGTGATTAAGAGATTTAGGATATCTTTATGAAAGATTTCCCTGTCACATGCAACAGCTAGGTGCTAAACACTAACTTCTTGGGGTAAACATTGAATGTGGGTAGAATTGTCTTAAAAACCATTTCCATATGTGCTTAATACACCATGTGTGAGTACCAACTCATAGGTCTTGGTCAATCTGATCTACAACTAAATATCTGAGAAAGTTTCCATTTATATAGGGCTGGCTTATCTGTAGGTTTTTCATTGTACAAGATAAAAACACTTTGGCCCCAGTGCAGCAAACGTTAGTTGTGTCTAACATAAATTCCACTGCTTTCAGTGGAAGTTGGGGCCAAGATTCCTGACCAACATTATTTGTACTGAAAAAAATATTTTAGAAGAAACTGTCAGAGTTCCGGACATATTATAGATGAACCTCACAGAGACTTGGACACTGCCACTGTAGGCTAGAAAAATAGGAAACTGTGAAAGCCTTGCGATGGGAAACAATGTACTAATTGAATAGCTACCATCAGTTGAATTTTGTTTGGTGTATTAATAAAGGTCTTGGCTTGCATAATGTTTCAATGTGATACTTGCAGAAGATTCCTGACTGTCTAAAAAATGCAATTTATAAATTTCCCCTTGCAGCACCGTGTAAAATACTAGTTAAAAGAGCTACAGTGTTATACAACCAGCAGAGAGTAAACGTGCAAGACCATCTCAAAGGAGGGATACAGCATGCTGAGACCATCTGGTTCTTCTGCAAAAATAAAGACCAGCACTGTAGCTATACTGTACCTGCTCAGTGCATAGATGGTAATCTCACAGCCCCTGCCTGTTTTAAAGGTATGGTTGGTTAAATATTCTTAGTTTGGCAAATTGAGCGTGTGAAAAAAAGCCAGAATAGGTGGCTAATGGCTTCATGGTTAGAAGGATGTCCGGGTCCAGACTTACCAGGAGGGCTGAATGGCCCGAGGAGCAGGTCGCGGGACAGTGACCCACCTTGGGAGGAGTCCGGGCCATGCAGCGGGGCTGCGAGGGCAGCGGCCTCCATCGGTGCAGGCTCTGCATTGGGGCTGCCTAGCGGTGGGGTTGGTGGCTGGCCATCTGGGGGCCACTGGGGCAACACCCACAGAGAGCCCCATGGAGAGGAGCCCTGCCGCCAGACCAGGGAGCGGCGGGGACATGACGGTGGAGCCCGGGGAGGGGGGAGGGCTCAACGGCAGATGCAGGTGGCTCTGTGGCTCTCATAGAGGAGGGTGCAAGAGGTGGCCACGGGAGGTGGGATGAACGGCGAATGCCAATCCTGCCCAGGACTGAGCAGGCAGGAGGCGGGATCAAAGGCTTAAAAGGCCAGACGATCCTGCCTAATGGGAGCAGGGCTGTGGCAGAGAGACAAGAAGGGAAACCAATCACGGAGGGTGAAGGGGTTGGGAACATGCAGCTGCTGGCTATAAAAGGGAACAGAGGCTGGGACCAAGAGAGAGAGCGAGAGAGAGCAGGGGAGTCTGAACATGATGGTTAGAGAGAGGGGGCACACCTCGACAGAGCTCTGGGGGGAGCCTACTGCCGGCTGGCCAAGGCCCCCCCACCTGTTGTCTGAGGTCCCAGCGACTCCCTTTTTGCACCTGACACCATGGCTGAGGGGGGGGCACCCTGGGACAAAAGGCGGGGGCGTGACAAAGGAAAATGGAAGAGTGGTTCTGATATTACATTTGTCATCTTGCTGTGTTGCGGGATAATTGGGATCTGGAGATTACTCAAATCATTAGGAGCATGGTAGATGAAGTGAGGGAAAGGCCACAAGTCTCCCACAGCAGGGTTACGAAGATCAAATGAAGACAATGACAGCCTCTGCCCTATGTTTTTGGGTGGGACCGAGATCTGGGCCTTATGAAACACAGGCAGTCTGCATTGCTATGCAAACCAGAGAAATTCTGTATGTTTACCTCTCATAACAAGCCTAGGCACAGAGCCAAATCACTCTTATCAATGCTGAAACTGATGGTGGCATCAGTCTACAGCACTGATTCGATGGCTCTGTGGTGAAGATGTCTTGTACTTCCTAAATGAGGCCAGTTGTATTCAGAGGCTCCCAGAAACAGGAAATGGATTATCCATCCAGTGGATCATTCCTAGTCGTTTCATACACTAATCTCCTAGTGACTTTTGAAATATACACTTTTTATTTCCAACTGTCCCCAGTTTTTGAGTCCTCCTGGTCCAGCAGATCCTGCATAAAACAGACACAGGAGAAAAAACCAGTAATGAACTTTTGTGGCTGTTGTTGTTTGTTTCAACTTCAACTTAAAATCTCAGACCAGAAGAGGTTCAGGTTCACCTGAAAAGCTGTTCTGGACAGTGGGGGCACCTCAGGAATAGCATGTGATGCAGCTTGGCGGGGGAGGGGGAATTACCAGAATTCCCCCCCCCCCATAAGCTTCTGTGCAAATAATCCCTTGTCTCTACCTCATCGTGTTTGAGGGTTCTTCACCCTCATGAGCTACTTTTCAGACTGCAGGGAATCAGCAAGGATATGTTTCACAAACTGCTTTCTGGACAGACGTTTTGACATGAGGGTTCAAAATAAGAACCAGAATGACTTTGCAAAAGCAAAGCTTGGGATATGTACTGGATGGCAATGAAGTGTTTTGCAATTCCGTTAATATTTTTAATTTACTGCGACAAAAAGTCACCTCATCTTTTAAGTACAATTTTATTTGGAAAAGGTAAAATGCCGCAATATTATACCTAACTACCTCATGAAAAAGCAACAACAACAATCAAGTTGCTTACATGATATAGCATTTATGTTTCGCATTCTGCTGAACTGAACATTTACAATTTGACACGTGCCAAAATGTAACATGTGACAGAAATGTATGTTGCATGACTGTGGCAGTAACACATTATGATAAATATCTTGTTTATATTTATACATTTTTCAACAGAACTTGGGTGGTTTTTAAGTCTGATAAAGATAGATGTCGCAGACCTGAGACCATGTGAGAACTGAAACAGATGCATCTTCATGTCCTGTTGAAGAGAAAATTTGTATGGAGAATTAAGGGATCGACCTAGACCACACTCACCTTTAAAGGAAGCATAACCCCACCAGCATATTCCTTACTCTATTGCAGTCAGTCATATTTGCTTTCAAACTATGCTGTCTTTTGCTCATTTCTTCTCTTCTTACTTTCTAAGATACATATGTTCAACTTGCTTAGGTAAAAGATAAAAAGGTAAAGGTTCCCTTGCTCGAAAGCCAGTTGAATCCGACTCTAGGGTTGCGGTGCTCATCTCCGTTTCAAAGCTGAAGAGTCAGCGCTGTCCGAAGACGTTTCCGTGGTCATGTGGCCGGCATGACTAAACACCAAGGCGCACGGAACGCTGTCACCTTCCCACCGAAGTGGTACCTATTTATCTACTTTCAATTTCTTGCTTTCGAACTGCTAGGTTGGCAGGAGCTGGAACTAGAGACGGGAGCTCACTCCATCATGCGGCACACTCGGGTCTCGAACTGCTGAACTACCGACCTTCCACAGCCTGCAGTTCAGCGTCTTAACCACTTGAGCCACCGCAGCTTGCTTACAACAGGGCAAAGGCATGAAAGGGCTAACAAATGGTGGATACAGCCTTCTCATAGATCAAAAAACTTCGTTGGTCTTAAAGGTGCCACTGGACCTCAAACTTTGTTCAACAACTAGTGCTTAACTGGTTTAAACAGAACACTTTCAGCTACACAATTTGATTTGAGAGTGTAAATCGTTGCATTCAGCTCCTTGAATTTTTTAAAAATAGACTTGCTAAGCCTAATAGAAAATTAAACTTTTTAGTTGCCTGTTTCATCATCCAGATAGGGTTGGATCCCACAGGAACTTTCAGAGTGCACAACAGACTTGGGAAAAGCTGCAGTGCTGAAATTACTCCTCATTATCTGCTTGCACTAAGTGAAAGTGATTGCATCCTCATCATCTGTTGTGTGTGTGCATGTGCGCAAAACATAGCACAGGATATTTCTTCTGGTACAGTTTCAAAAACAAATGTCACACAAACTGTCTGTAGTACATTCCATTGCTTTATCACATGTCTATCATGTCATTAAAAATTATGTTGAAGTGATTACCTTGTGCTATTGCTTTCTGCTCACACATTCCTGGACCCAACCCATAATTGTTTTTAACCTTTGAAGTATGTAAAGTAGTTGTAGACTTCAAATAGTAAGAAAATTTATAAAGGAGACAGCATGGACCTCAGAAGGTAGGAATATATTTTACTACCAAATAACATTATTCTTCTCATTCTTCTAAAGCAGATCAGCCAAAGATCAGCCTCTGAATTAGTCATAATGGCTGGAATATTAACTTTGAACTATTATTTGTAAATACCCCTAGACATCACAATTCCCAAATATTTTTACCAGTTATGGTGGTAGGGGGAAGCTTTACAAATTGTGCTTAAGTTACTGCAGTTTATAATGGTTCCGTTGAAATTTTTAAAAGGATAAGCTTTGATTGGTACAATGCTAACAGACTGTATAGAAAAATTGCTTTCTGCTTTCTATATCCACATGCCTTCTCCTGTGATGTCTTTTGATACCATGCTGTCTTTGTTTCCTGTTGCAGGCCAAATGGTCCAGGGCAGACCAAATGGCCTGAACTACCTCAATTGCCATGCCATAAACCCACATTCTTTCACACTTTCATGCCAAAAGCCAGACCTCATGGCACCACTTTCTGGCACACATACAACTAGGCACGTACACGATGGAGAAGCTGGGAAGTTTGGGTCACCTGACTGCAGGAGGGGCCTCCAAACTTCTAGCCATTCCTGTGTTGCAGCTATGGCAACCAATTCCTGTGTTGTAGCTATGGCAACGACCCCTGTCCACTCGTGATTGGCTGCTGGCCACAGCTAAGTGTGACTGGAATTGGGCTATAATTGATCGATCCCTATGGGAATGAGAGCTTAGCTCTGGCTGCTCTCTTGCTTAGCTTTCCCTTCCTTCTCTGTCAGTCTGTTTTATTGCACCTGGAAATGCTGCCTCATGAGAGACAAAGAGTGGCTTTCTGAACTGGAGCACATGGATGCAAGAAAGGGATTTCTCTCCAAAATCTCTTGGTGTCTAATTGGACTGTATACCTTGGACACTCTTGGAATATGGACACTTCACTGGTAACTATGAATATCTTTAATGTGTAGTTAAGGCACAGAGCCATAGGTTTTTCTTGTTTTCAGTAATCTCTTATATAGTCTGTTTTGCTATGCTCTGTACTGAATAAAAATTATTCTTATTTCTAATGGGTCTCTGATGTTGTAACTTGAATTCCAAGTCTAAATCTTGTAGCCTAACGCTCACCACACATGCTACTTTGGTAAAAAGTGTGCATCTCTATATTGAGTTGCTAATGTGTTTTGTCCCAGATGCCAACTAAGGGTTTGGAATCTCCCTCTTAGGAAAGGCGGGGACTAGATAAAAGAGGTTCTGGTGGCATATTGTTCTGGAAATCTGAGGAGGTATAGACCATCTTGTGGTTTGTTGTTTAATGTACTGAAAAGTACAGGATTCCCTCCCATTCCTGGACTGGCTTGGGTGGGCAAAGACCTGTACACAGACAATATTGTTAAAGTGCATAGAAAGGTATTTTTTATGGAGGAGGAGGAGAAGACAATGACAACAACATTGGATTTATACCCCACCCTTCAGTACCCAAGGGAGTCTCAGAGCGGCTTACAAACTCCTTTCCCTTCCCCTCCCCACAACAGACACCATGTGAGGTAGGTGGGGCTGAGAGAGCTCTGACAGAAACTGCTCTTTTTCCAAGAATAGTTCTTATAAGAACTACGGCTTGCCCAAGGTCATCCAGCAGGTGCAAGTGGAGGAGTGGGGAATCAAACCCGGTTCTCTCAGATTAGAGTCCATGTACTTTTGCTGGTCTTCTTAAAAGTCCCACAAGATGCCATTTTATCCCCTATCCCTGGCTCTTTCCCCTCCCCTTCCCTCCCCAGAGGAGGAGCGGGAGGGGGAAGGAGCCCTCAGCCAATCGAAGGCTTTCTTTCTCCCCTCTGAAGCAGGAAATAGGAGAGACTGGCCAAAAGGAGCTGTGATGTTAGAAACGGGAAGACGGAAGCAGCACAGAGTCAGTTGCTCTCGGGCCGGATTGGAGGCTTGCAGGGGCCAGATCCAGCCCATGAGCCATATGTTTGACGCCCTTGCTTTAAAGTGTCTCAAGATTCTTTGTTGTCCTGGTTAAAGAATTTGAGATTGCTGAGACTGGAAATAAATAATAATTTTCCCTATATGGATTCAAATAAATTTATGACATAACAAATCTTCCATTATTAGTGGAAGCATAAAAATACTGCATTTGTAGGTGGTCAGTAAATTGCTAGCAATTAGGGCCCAGTGAATGTATATACAATGGCACTCAGGGTGTAATCCTAAAAACACTTTCCTGGGAGTAAGCCAAATTAAACCGACCTGAATAAAATTCTGAGTAGATCTGTTTAGGATTGTTCTCTGTTTTTTCCCCCTCAGTAGACTGTTGGTCACTCACTTTCCTTCATCCTACAGCCCCAGGGCAGACAAGACCACCAGCACTCTGTCGTCATGTTGCCAAGATTATATCATAGCAAAGACACAGGGTCCAGGGTCATCTAGTCATACCCCCCTGCACAATGCAGGAAATTCTCAACTACCTTCGCCCCCCCCCACACACCCCCAGTGACTCCTGCTCTATGCCCAGAAGATGGTAAAAAACCTCCTGGATCCCTGGACAAACTGGCCTGGAGAAAATTGTTTCCTGATCCCAAAGTGGCGATCAGTGTAAGAAAGGGCCATGAGAACTAAGCAGTAATACAACCCTTCCTGCCCTCCTTCTCATGATCTGCCTAAGTTCACAGAATGAGCATTGCTGTCAGATGGCCACCTAGCCTCTGCTTGAAAACCTCCAAAGAAGGAGAGCCCACCACCTCCCGAGGAAGCCTGTTCCACTGAGGAACCACTCAAACTGTCAGGAAGTTAGTTGCTGTAGATTTTCCGGGTTGTGTGGCCGTGGTCTTGGCATTGTAGAATCTGATGTTTTGCCAGTAACTGTGACTGGCATCCTCAGAGGTATAAACACAGAAATTTTTAGCCAAATGTTTAGCCCAGGGCTATTTTTGGGCAGGAACGCACAGGAACGGAGTTCCGACTGGCTCCCAAGTTGGCCACGCCTAGCAGGAACTCATTAGCATAATAGGCCACACCCAACAGCAGAAACTCATTAGGATTGGCTACGTTAGGGGTGTGTGGCCTAATATGCAAAGGAGTTCCTGCTACAAAAAAGCCCTGGGTTTTGACAACAAACAAGGTCAACAGAATAATAATCAAAAGGTGGGTGTGGCTGGATGACCACACTTCTGGGAACATGGGGGTGCGGCCTCATGTGCTCATGAGCTGTGCTGTCAGGGGTGTGGCCTAATATGCTAATGAGTTTCTGCTGTTGGGTGTGGTCTATTATGCTAATGAGTTCCTGCTGGGCTTTTTCTACAAAAAGAGCCTTGGTCCACTGCTGCCCACAGGTTGGAACAGGTTGGGGACCCCTGCTCTATTGAATTAGATGAAGCACCCATGCCAATGCCAAAAATTGACTTTACTCCTCCTAGGAGAACATTATTCTCAGCAGTCTGCTCCTCATGGGGAGGTTTTACTTCAGCCTCCTTGCCATGCCTGAGCTTCCTTCAAGAACCTCTTCCATCATTCATCTTTCTCCAGGGAAATCCCATAGGATAGAAAACCATGGATGATTCCAGTATTAAAGATCTCTGCACTTGACATGTTTTCTTCTTGAGTTTTTGGTAGCAAGGCAAGCTGCCCTATAACTACAGATGTTCCATACAAAACTTGCCTGTTCTAGAATTTCCATCTATAAGAAATATTATATAGAACCATAAACTGCTTTTGAAAGCGTCATGGAACTTACTAGAGGTCCCACTGCCCTACCTACCATTGATGTGTGGGATATTTCGAGCTGAGGCTAAGGTTGCCTACATTTCCACTGGCACCACGCTCCTGCCCCTTAAAAAAAATAAATCTAATTTTATGTAGAGACATCAGCAGTTGACAATTCCAGGGAAGCCATAAAGGTAAAGGTTCCCTTGCTCGAAAGCCAGTTGAGTCTGACTCTAGGGTTGCGGTGCTCATCTTCGTTTCAAAGCCGAAGAGCCAGCGCTGTCCGAAGACGTTTCCATGGTCATGTGGCCGGCATGATTAAACACCAAGGTGCACGGAAAGCTGTTACCTTCCCACCGAAGTGGTACCTATTTATCTACTTGCAATTTCTTGCTTTCGAACTGCTAGGTTGGCAGGAGCTGGAACTAGAGACGGGAGCTCATTCCATCATGCGGCAGCTTGGGTCTTGAACTGCTGAACTACTGACCGTCCACAGCCTGCAGTTCAGCATCTTAACCACTTGAGCCACCGCAGCCATACTGTAAGACAAAAATGAAAACTACAGTGAACGGGGGGGGGGGGGACAGAATTAAAACCATTTATTTAGCTTTAAAAAGAGTTGGTCCACATCGCCACTCCACGCAGCACCCTGTCATGAAACAAACAACCCTTCCCATGATCCAAAGTGCAAGGTGCCAGCCCTTCAGAACAAAACATAATGAAGATAAAAATGACCATAAATTTAAAAAAATGCTTGTCAGCAACATGAAATAATCCTCTTACAGGCCTGAGTAATGCATTACGAATGTTGAAAAGTAAACTGTAAAAGGTGAATGCCCCTGATGTGATCGAAGCCTGTCAAAGCAATTAGATTCTCTAATGACAGGAATTCTGAAAGTTCCCTCAGAAAGTTTCATCCCTGAACCGGACAACATTAGTCCTTCTGTACATGGATTATTCAGCTTTGGGGCTAGGTAACTCATGAGTCTTCAGGTGGGAACTTTTGAAGCTGAAGCTTTCCCCTCATGCTAAGCATGTATAACCTTTGCTGTAGAATAAGCATGGATGTTTGAACAAACCTTTCCCCACACTTTGGGCACCGCTGTGTTTTTCTCCTGTGTGGGCTTCCTTTTGTCTGTGAAGATTATAATTAGTCCCAGGTTATTTGTGCTACATTCCATATGTACACGTAATCTAGCTCCGACTTTTTTTTAATGTGTATTTTAAGGCTGCCTTCCCAGAAGAAGTCCTTTCCACACTTTGAGGACCTGTTTGGTTCCTTATCCCTATGGAATTCTCGGTGTACAAGATACAGGTCGTGCCAACAGAAGGTTCTTCGGCATTGCAAGCAATAATCAGATCTGTCGAAGGCTTTCACGTTCGGAGTTCATTACTTGTTGTAGATTTTCCTGGCTGTATGGCCGTGGTCTTGGCTGTGTGGCCAAGACCATGGCCATACAGCCCGGAAAATCTACAAGAAGTAATTATCAGATTCGTGTATGCAATTTCTTGTGTAGCAAGATGGCTTGATGGAAGGATTCCTTACACTGCAAGCCTGTATGTGGTCTCTCTCGAGTGTGCACTCCCTTTTGGACAACAAGCTGTGATTTCTGACTGAAAATATCCCCACATTAGAACATTGATAAGGTTTTGTCCTGTATGAGATCTTTCATGTTGAATAAGAATTGATTGTAAAATATAGCTTTTCTCACCCCCTGAGTATTTATAAGGCTTCTCTCCTGTATGAGATCTTTCATGCTGAACAAGCCTTATAAGGCTTCTCTCCAGTGTGAGAACTTTTATGTTGAAGAAGCACTGATCTAAAAGGAAACCTTTCCCCACACTCTGCACATTGATATGGCTTCTCTTTGTGGTAATACTGGTGCACTCTAAGACTTGACTCAGAACTAAGACCTTTCCCACAGTCTGAACATATATACAGCTTCCCTCCAGTATGAGATTTTTCATGTCGAACAAGATACGATTTAAATGCAAAGATTTTCCCGCACTCTGCACATTGATATTGCTTCTCTTCTTTGTGTGATTTTTTGTGTACTGAAAGGTCTGACGTAGAACTAAAGTTTTCCCCACAGTCTGAGCATATGTGGGCTCGTTGTATATGTCTTGAAAGGCAAACACTGGAACTTAAACTTCTCCCACACTGTGGGCATTTATGAGTTTTCTTTTTTCTCTGGACTGGATCTATGAAAAAAAGCTTTTCCCACACACCAAGGATTGGTACAGGTTCTGTCCTGTGTGGGACTTTTTGTACTGAAAAGCTTGAAGTAGCACTAAAACTTCCCACAGTCTGAGCAGTTATATGGCTTCTCTCCGGTATGAGATTTTTCATGCTGAGCAAGAGTTGATCTATAAACAAAGCTCTTCCCGCATACCAAGCATTTATATGGGTTCTCTCCAGTGTAGGATTTTTTTGTGTGCTAGAAGACCTGAATTATAAGTAAAACCTTTCCCACAGTCTGAGCATGTATATGGCTTCTCTCCAGTGTGAGAACTTTTATGTTGAAGAAGCACTGATCTAAAAGGAAACCTTTCCCCACACTCTGCACATTGATATGGCTTCTCTTTGTGGTAATACTGGTGCACTCTAAGACTTGACTCAGAACTAAGACCTTTCCCACAGTCTGAACATATATACAGCTTCCCTCCAGTATGAGATTTTTCATGTCGAACAAGATACGATTTAAATGCAAAGATTTTCCCGCACTCTGCACATTGATATTGCTTCTCTTCTTTGTGTGATTTTTTGTGTACTGAAAGGTCTGACGTAGAACTAAAGTTTTCCCCACAGTCTGAGCATATGTGGGCTCGTTGTATATGTCTTGAAAGGCAAACACTGGAACTTAAACTTCTCCCACACTGTGGGCATTTATGAGTTTTCTTTTTTCTCTGGACTGACTTTCTCTGTAAAGGACCAGAACTCTGCACCGAGTTTTCATCACACCCTCTTTCTGCTACTTCTGTCCCACCTGAGGTTGCTTCACTTAAACTTTGGTCCTCTAAGAGAGAACCTCTTCTCACTGGATCAGGTTGTTCACTGCTTTGTGTCCTAAACCAAGTGCTGCATCCTTCTTCTATCTCAGACGACGGGGAAGTCTCCTCTCTTTCTCCACCTGTGAGATCGCTATTCTCAGGTGTTCTCAAGTGAAGATTCTCTTTCTTGCTCACTTGTTCAACATCTGTTTGGGAAAAAGAAGAGAATCATAACTTGAATCAACCATGCTTCAGTTGGAATGAAACCTACAGTGATGGTTGCCAGACATCCTCCTCTTTCCATCAGTGGCCAGTCAGAGGCTGCTGTTGTTTAGGCCTGCATCTCATACTCAGAGACACATTTCCTTTGGGCATATAGATTTTATTTCATTATTACAGCTAGCAGACATCAATAGACATTTCCTTGATGAAGTTGTCTAGTCCTTCTTCAAAGCTATTTAAACTAATGTTCATGTCCCCATCTGGTGGCTGGAAATCCCCTAAGTCAATGATGCCGTTTGTGAGGAATTTCTGCCCAAACATAAGTGCACTATGAAATTATTTCAGAGTTCCGCAATGTGCATCACTTAGGGCTCATGAGGCCCTTAGGAACTTTCAACACACATTCTTTATGGTTTCATATGAGTTAGCATATGGGTCATCAGATACATAGAACTGATTTATCTTGACATCTCACTGCATACGATGGCATCATAGTGCAGATCAAAAAATCAGCACCATGGGGCCATGTATATATAGAGGGGACTTGTTTCATTTTTACACACCTGGGCAATGCCAGGTTTTCAAAAGCATTACAAACCTGAATGTGAGGGGGGGGGGGTTAAAACCACCACAAAATGGGGAATGCCAACTATGATAATCTAAATTCTTTAAAGATCATCGTTAGAAAATGGGGGGTGCCTAGAACCAAGACCTGGGAGACTACGAAAGCCCAGCATAACTGCAGAGTTGTTAGAAAGAAGCTGCAGTGACAACACGTGGGGAAGGAGAGACCAAAAGGACTGGGGAGGGAAAGCATCAGTGGGCCAATGAGGAATAGGTTTCCCCACCCCAAAAAATCTCACAGATCCTCACCTTCTATCGTAACATTATCAGACCGGCTTCTTTCCTCTCACACACTCCTCTAATCATTTCCACCTTTTCTGCCACAGAATAGCAAACAAAACACTTGTATCCCAGGTATTCAGGTCCCTGAATCCCTACCAGGTGAAGTGGCTTCTCCATCCCCTTCTTGGTTGGCTTCCATACTCCAGGTGTCTGATGTTGGATCCAGTTCTGTTGTAGAGGAATCGATTTAGGCACTTCCTCCAAGTATTGAGCCAACTGTAATAAAAGTATGTATATGAAGCCCAGACACGTTGCAAGGCTGGGCACGGAATTTATTCCTTAGATACAATAACATGTCAATCACCGGCTGCCCTTCCCATCCTGGGGGGTCACTTGAGAAGCAGCCAGGCAGCTCCAAGCAGCAACCCCAAACAGGCTCCAGGCCCACTTTTCATATTTTGACATATTTTCTTTGGACCTAGGAGCCAGCCACAAAGCTATGGAGCCCAGAGTCATCCATACCAAATACAGCTTCTTCCCTCTCTTATGTTAATGTTGCATCTAACTTATAAATGGGGTTACCAACTGGCCTAGGGAAAAACTGTACTGTCTCTTTACTATTATTTTATCGCATGGTGTTATTGCATGGTCAGAAAAAGCTTCAACAGTCAATTTCCACACATTAAGCCTCTATTAAAGGGACAGGAGATTTTTCTCTGCCCCCATTGGCAACCCAACCCCTAAATCCAGCACACTCTAAGAGGTAAGAACATCAGTGAGCTGTGGAAGGGAAGGGCCTTTACTGCTCTTTTCCTTCACATGTGTAACCTTTGCTGTAGTATAAGCACAGATTTTTCAAAAAAACCTTTCCCCGCACTTTGGGCAGTGCTGTGTTTTTTCTCCTGTGTAGGTTTCCTTCTTCGTACAAACACTACACCCCGCTGGCTCCATGTAGACAACACTCAATGTTTTCTCCCTACAAGGAGCGTTACTTTGGAATCTAGGCCTTTTACCAAACTGGAGGAAGAGATTTAACCTTACTCATGAGTAACTCAAAGTTTCTGAGTAGACATATATAGGGACTCTTCTGAAGAACAGGAAACGCTGTGGGAGGAGCAATCTGTCACCGCTAGCACAATAGCGCCACAATAATTTTTTCTGAAGAAACAGTAGTCTTTAACCTTCGGCAATAAACATCAAGTCTTGTGACCAAGGCTCCCTCTAAGCTGTGGAGTCCTGTGAGCAAAAATTCTACTTGGTGAGCTCCTGGCATTAAAGTTGTGAGCGAGCGATTTGGCTGCTGCATGAATTAGTTTGCTCTGGAGCCCTCCTTCCTGAGCTAAGACAAAAATCTGTGAGCCGGAGGCTAAAAAACTGTGAGCTAGCTCACACTAACTCAGCTTAGAGGGAACACTGCTTGTGACACCTTAAAGAGTGCAAAAACATCCTCCGTCAGCAGGTCAACAGAGGGAGAACTTCCTTTGGGTTTCTTATTTACAAGAATAAGCAAAATGCTTAATCTCATCTACATATTAAACATTTGCCAGTTCCTGGTGAGGCTGCAGTTGAATTCTCAGGCCATCCATTGTTGGCCAGACTTTCAACTGGAGATTTAGCTAATTTAATTAGGTGAGGTTTTTGTCTATTTCATTACTCTCCTGTTTGAGGATTGGTGTTTTATTTACCTTGAAGGCAACATCACATAGTCTTAGTATGCAAATACTATTGAGTCATTATTATTTGAGACTGCTAATCTGGGTGAGTTTTATAGCACTGTATTGTTTTGTATTGAATTTGAATTGTGTCCCACCCCTTTCTCAAAGTTATCTATCTCCAGTATGTCTCTATATAAAAATCCTTATCAAAATTTCAGTCAATACATATAACAGGGAATGCATGTTATCTGAAGCAATCAGGTGCATCAAGACTCATTCATCAAAAGGCTTCATCTCCACCATGCACCAAACTTTAATTTCACCCCTTTGACCCTCCCAGGTATGGATCTCCTTCTTAGCCCCAACAACTGGTTTCTCCCCTGAGTCCCAGAAATCCATCTTCATGCCTGCACTCACCTTCCCCTAGAAAATGTTGTGTTGCATTTCTCCTAAGGAAAAGACCAAGCCAGCCAGACCAGCAAAATTAGGATAAAGACAATCTTCCTGTGAAGGAGAGCACAGGTGGGCTGAAAGGCAAATTCCCTATTATGGGCTCTGGCCAATTAGGGCTCTGGGCATTTAACCCTTTCCAGCCTCTCCCAGGAAAAAGGCAGCAAGGGAGTCGCTACATCTGATAGGGACAGTTGGATCACTACCTTCCCCGCAGCCAAGAGGATCCCTGGCTTTGTTTTCAAAATGACAATCAGGATTTCAGTATATGAAGTTTTTTCACTTGAATGTCCGCCTGCCATGATGCAGAGCACCAAGATGGAGGTGTGGGTATGAGACTGAAGATGCAGCCCCCTCCGACAACACTGCTGAAGTGAAGTGCTGAAACCCCCCCCCGTGAACCCCCCCCCCCCCACTGGACCCAGCTCTGTCCTCTAAATCTGCATTTTTTCCATGGGGTTCTTTCTGATTGAACAGTGATGGGATGTCTCATAGAAGGCCAGAGACTTGCTCTTCATCGTTGTGTGTTCATCTTCAGGAAATGGGCTGTGACTCTGAGGTCTGACCAGGGTTGCCAACTGACTAGGGAATAAACCTAGCCTGACCTGCTCTTCTCCATTTGCCAAAGCTTGACATAAAGAAACTGGGAGGTTTGCTTGTTTAAATGCCACAGACATCGGCACAGCAGCCTCAGATTTGCATGGCTGCCCTTCTGGAATTGTTCACTGCGAAGGTCTCAGCTTCAGACTCTTAAGAGAGGAGCAGGGGCTGGCTGAAAAGCTGGTCACCTTATCCCGGTCTCAAATCATCCAATACAACCACGGGAGGCAGTTCAACAGGACCTCTGCTGCCCAAGTTCCACAAGGCTTTCGAAAGCTATTTCTGGTTCCACTCAGTATTTCTCATAGA